GGAGAGGTGGCAGAACCAACTACCTGAGGGAGTAAAACAAGAATTGTATGTACACTGCATGCCGCCATGTGGAGTCGAGAGCTTATGAGGGCTTTATATAGGGAAGCTACAAAGATGAGATAATAAATTAGGAAACTGAAGCCTATGCTAGATAAATAAAAATATATAAGAATTGATATTATTTGTTCAAGAGAAATATGATAAATAGCCTAAGAATATCCTAGGAATTTTCAATGTATGCGACAAGTATTTATAGCCTACTATGTACCAGCCACTGTTCTCATTGAAGATCTGAGGATGAGATGAGTTGATGTACAAATAAGCTGTAGCAGATGCTTCTTTAGGAAGCAACAGTTCTCCACTAGGATAAGACCAACTAGATTGGGTCAGGCAGGGTGCTTGGGTGATGCCCTGTGGTCCTTGGAGATGACAGTCCCCTGTGTTTCAGATGGTTAAGGAAACATCTTGCCTAATGGTCATCTTTCCTAAGTACTCTGTATTGTGTCCTCCCAGACTGAATCCTTTATTTCTTTCCCACTCTTGCTGGCTTGTCACCAAAAAGTGGGAGATAAGACTTTCACTGAATGCTCCATTTCCCTCCCAGTTAAAATATGCTAGAGTTTAGGGTGATGGGGATGTCATCATACCAGAATAAGTAAGGTAGAATAGAATTTCAACCTTCCCTGAGAACATAACCATCAAAATACACTACAAAGTGAACTGTGTCTTTGGATTCTATGATGCCCCAATGATGAATCAGCCTTCTGCTTACAGTAGACTCTAAACCCCTTAAATGGGCTCCAGCATTCCCTCCGCCACCTTGCCTGTGCTAGTAGTGCAGCATGGCAAGCAATAGGGAGTGCTAGGTGGGGTTCACAGTGGAGAAGTGATTTTGACGTAGCCCATTGTTTTAAATTTTTTGACAGTGCTTTCATTATTTGGAAAAATTAGAGTTATCCATGGTTTCAGTGTTTTTTCTCTTTTACACTTTCAAGAAAGTAAAAACAGTACAATAACACTATTATATTTATCTATGATTGTAAAAGCAAAACTGCATGGAGTGATCATACCACTTGCCTTGTGCTATCAGAATCAGTTGTTGAGTTATAGACCTTATAGAACCAAGGTCTCAAAATATTGTCTTAACCATAGTAAGATCTTACCCACATCTTACTATGTAGGAAATATGCTGTGTTACCCATAGTAATAAGCTATAAGTATCCTGAATCTTTACTAAAGCATCCTACTAAGACTTTATTGATTTAAACCTTCTTAAATTGGAAACAACATACTTAATTTAGTCTAATAAAGCAGCAATTTGCTAATTCATGAATGGGAGGAAAACTATCTAAAACTTTCCTGTTCAAAGGGTGGTCCGTGTCCCAGAGCATACACATCAACTGGAGACAGTTAGAAATGCAGACTCCCGATCCCCGCCACCTTCACCTATTGAATTAGAACCTACATTTTAAGCAGAAACCCCAGGTAATTCTTGCACATTTTAAGTGTGAGAAGCACTGGATTTAAATCTATATATATAGAAGCCTAAGTGACCGGCCGACTGGCTGACCGGCGGTAGCTATGATCTTCACTGACCACCAGGGGACAGACGCTCAACACAGGAGATGCCGAGCGACAGCAACTTTGCAGAGTGCCCTCTTGCACTCTGGGACCCCTCGGGGAATGTCAGACTGCCGGTTTCGGCCCGATCCCCACAGGCCAGGTCCAGGGACCCCACCAGTGCATGAATCTGTGCACCGGGCCTCTAGTTTATAAATAATACTATGTCCAGGTGAGATTGTTTTGAAGCTGGGGGCAAAATAGTTCATTGTAATTCGTATTTACCTTTGATCTGGAGAAAAGGTAAACCCAAGTATGAATGACTCTGAAACTATTTAAAAATGATAGAGTGTGAAAAATATAAAATCTGTGAGAAGTTAGAAATATTGGCTAGAAATAAGATCAAGATAATCCCAGAAAATGCAAACTAAATGTATGTGCACAAAGTCTTCTATTAATACACAGTACTTGGGAAATTTGAGCGTGGAAAGCATCTTGATACCTGTGTACATGTGACATAGCAGTAGACAGAAAACCAGAATTTAATCAGTAATAGATGAAGGTGGCCACTTCCCACTGCCGATTTGATTCATGAGAGATTTTCTTAAAGGCAGAGAGCCTAGTTGTGGCTGGTAAACTTCTCACACAGTAAGTGATACTGTTTGGTAGAAAGATAAAGGTAAACCGGAGAGTGTTAAGAGATGGGCTGGAAGATCGATTATAGTATAGGGAGAACTGATTTATGAGGAAAGAGAAAAATAATTATATGGGCAGCACTGTGCTGTAAAAAGGGACTATGGAGACATGGGTATTTGTCTAATGTTTTTCCAGTGCTGTTTCCTGTAGCATCCACATGAAAGATGCAGAAACATTGGGATGTAAGAAATTTGTTACAAAGCAAAGCAATGCCAGCTGGAATTAGTCTGTTAAATTAGGAGCAATATTAAATATTAAGTTTTAGAAAATTTTACCTGGTGCATGAGAAATTGCTTTGAGTGGGATGACTTTATCACTGACAACTCTTCAAAGCTCTGTGGGCAAAGAATAGGAAATCATGTACTAAGTTGTTGAATTATCTTCTCAGGGAAATAATTGGAACCCCATCCCTAGAAACTTCTAAATGATGGTGGAGAAAACCCAGGATGCTGCCTGTGGGAAGTCTCCATGTCTGGCAGAGACCTTTTGATGAGTGACCTTTTCCTTCTGCAATCTCTTTGATTATTGCTGCTGTTACCATACACAGATCTTTTTTAATGATGTTTCTATCTTATTTAAATTAAAAATGCCAGTATCTAGACACACAGCTACAGAGTGTCACTCATCTGCCCTCCATGATGTCTGCCTCCTTGGCCTTGGCAGGTTACCTGCACCCAGTGACATTCCCTTGCCACTTCTCCAAATTTCGGAACTCATTAAAATATGCATTTCAGTGCCTATTGAAAGCGAATTCACTTCCTATATTATCTCCATTCAGAAAGCTAAAAAGATAAGCCCAAAATATGTGTTGCCTTTTGGAGCCATTTGTCAAATGGACACAGAAACTCAGGAAGTCTGAAATCATCTAGTGCAGTGGTTCTCAACCTTCTGGCCCTTTAAATACAGCTCCTCATGTTGTGACCCAACCATAAAATTATTTTCGTTGCTACTTCATAACTGTAATGTTGCTACTGTTATGAATCATAATGTAAATATCTGTTATGCAGGATGGTTTTAGGCGACCCCTGTGAAAGGGTCATTCAACCGCCAAAGGGGTCGCGACCCACAGGTTGAGAACCACTGATCTAGTGTTTTGGAGAGTTTAGTGATCCTTATTACGAGGACAGAAAGCAAGTAAAAAAAAATTATTCAGAATTCTAATTCATTACTTTACTTCTTTAAAAAATTGATTTCAGAGAGGAAGGAGAGGGAGAGAGAGATAGAAACATCAATGATGAGAGAGAATATTTGATGGTCTTCCTCCTGCACACCCCCAACTTGGGATCTAGCCCACAACCCGGGCATGTGCCCTAACTGGGAATTGAACCTTGACCTCCTGGTTCATAGGTTGATGTGCATATGATGATGAGCCACACCAGCTGGGCCATTACTTTACTTTTCCATGCTGTTCCTTCAGACCCACATTTGTATTGCCTGGGAGATTGAGCTTAATATAGGTGCTGCACAGAATTGTTCATATCAGATATGGTGACTGGAGATATTAAATATACTTCTTTATGCTAATGTGTGGACAAGTTTGCCAAACTTAAATATTAACTCACATTAATTAAATTTCTTCGGGTGCTCCATTACATGAGTTAGTGTTTTGTTGATGGTATTTTCTAAACTACTGTTCAGTTTTGTTATTTATGGCACCTACTTTAGTTTAAGACATTCTCTTTATCTGTAGCCATAAGTTCTTACAACTTTTTTTCCTGAAAGTGATCTGGGCCTAAATAAAAAGGTTAGGATTACATTGTGCTATGTTGTTCATAATACAAAGATAATCTCTTCTATATCCTGTTTCTGGGGGAAAGGCTCTAACAAATTGCCAATATCTTACATGGGCAAATAACAACTGTCTTGAAGATGAAAACTAATTGAGAAAAAAATTTAAATTGATAGATTTCAATCTTCCTTTTTCTTTTCTTGCTTCCTGACTGATATACTAACCAAAGGGGCAGGGGAAAAAGTCCTTTTCCTTTCTAAATCATTCTACTAGTGTCATATTGATTTTCTCTCAAGTATACCCTGTGGTCTCAGATGATCACATATTTTCTTACATTACTTACATTGATACAGCACCTTGACTCATGGGCTGACATACATTGCTTGAACTGTGATGACACCACTCACCATTGACATTTCCTGGGGTGGGGTGTATCAGGCCTCTTTTGCATGAAATGTAAGGGAACAGGCTGCCTCACCACAATATTTTTATTCTTTGAAAAGTGATTATTGCCCGGCTGGTATGGCTCAGTGGTTGACCGTCAACCTATGAACCAGGAGATCATGTTTGATTCCCAGTCAGGGCACATGCCCTGGCTGCAGGCTCTGATCCCCAGTGGGAGGCAGCCAATCAATGATTCTCTCTCATCATTGATGTTTCCATCTCTCCCTCTCCTTTCTCCCTTCCTCTCTGAAATCAATAAAAATATTTTTAAAAATAAAATAAAAAGTGATTATTGTTCACTCCAAGTGATAGCTTAAAGTCCCCATTACTGTTGCTTAACATTGTTTCTAACGCCTACAACAATGTCTTGAGTTCTTTTATGTTGTTTTGTGGGGGAGGAGGGGGGTTGCTGATGCAGGGGGAGAAAATTCTCAACAGGTATCAAAATATGATTTGTAAGAAAAAAATGTTAAGTGTCTGAAAGGATACACAGTGGCCTTCTACATGCCCTTGTTTAGGCTCTCTTTCTTACCTTTGTATTGCCCTCTCCCCTCCCCTCCCTCTGTTTCAGCTAGCCGTGAGGTGGTTGGAACACAACTGCCATTACCAGTACATGGATGAGCTCCTGCAGTATATCCGCTTTGGCCTGATGGATGTGGATACTCTCCATACAGTTGCCCTGTCCCACCCCCTCGTCCAGGCAAGTGAGACTGCAACGGCTCTTGTCAATGAGGCCCTGGAGTACCACCAGAGCATCTACGCACAGCCCGTGTGGCAGACCTGCAGGACCAAACCCAGGTTCCAGTCAGACACTCTGTATATCATCGGCGGGAAGAAGCGCGAGGTCTGTAAAGTCAAGGAACTTCGGTACTTCAATCCTGTGGACCAGGAGAACGCTCTCATAGCTGCCATTGCCAACTGGAGCGAGCTGGCCCCCATGCCCGTGGGAAGGAGCCACCACTGTGTGGCCGTCATGGGGGACTTTCTGTTTGTGGCAGGAGGGGAAGTGGAGCACGCCACTGGCCGGACGTGTGCTGTGAGGACTGCCTGTCGCTATGACCCCCGCAGTAATTCCTGGGCAGAGATCGCGCCCATGAAAAACTGTCGGGAGCATTTTGTGCTGGGTGCCATGGACGAATACCTCTATGCAGTTGGGGGCAGAAATGAGCTGCGCCAGGTTCTGCCCACAGTCGAGAGATATTGCCCCAAGAAGAACAAGTGGACTTTTGTGCAGTCCTTTGACAGGTCCCTTTCCTGTCACGCTGGCTACGTGGCAGATGGCCTTCTCTGGATATCAGGTAGAAAATGCCTCCTGTGTTGGATTTGTCAAGAAACACTTTCATTGTGGGATAAATTTAAAAGTCAAGCTTTGGTAGTGTGGCCATGTGTAATTGGATGAATGAGCCAAAACTGCCATTTTTGGCTAATTAACATTCATTGATTGAGTACCTACTCGATATAGAATTATGACTTTCTGAGTGCTTAGTGAAGGAAAAATTCAAGATGGGAGTTAATAGCCCATCACACCTCTTTTTTGACCAAACCTTCTGTTGTTTAGATTGTCAGCTTTTGATATTCATGGATTGTATTGCACACCTTTGCCTTTACCTTTACCCTGGGCTGCCTGACTATGAGTCTTTCATCAAAGCCAGGGCAGGCAAAATAAAAGCCCAGGAAACCCATTTTGATGGGTATAGCAATGGGTATCCAGGTAAGAGGATTGCTGTGCATTGAGGGAAGGGATTGAAACTATTGGCTAAAGTAATGTTTTATATTACCTGTGTAGTGACTCATGGCATCCTAATCCTTCATTCCTAATTAGTCTTCCATTCTTTCTGATCATTTGGCAGGCATTATTATTTTAGTTTCCTTTTTTCTCATTTTTAAAAAAGCCTTTTGATGATGGAAAAAATAGAGAGGCTAGTGTAATGAACTTCATGTACCCATGACCCTAGCTCCAGCAGTTATTCACTTGCTTCCACTCTTGTTTCATCCACATCCACATACTTCTTCAAATTCCCCAGTGCTGCCTTTTCACTTGTGCAGAAGAAGTCGTCGGGGCATATGTATTAACATCTCAGTATCAACCTGTGTTTCCAGTTCTATTATTGCAGCGGTTCTCAACCTGTGGGTCGCGACTCCTTTGGTGGTCGAATGACCTTTTCACAGGGGTCGCCAAGACCATCCTGCATATCAGATATTTACATTACAATTCATAACATTAGCAACATTACAGTTATGAAGTAGCAACGAAAATAATTTTATGGTTGGGTCACAACATGAGGAACTATATTTAAAGGGCCAGAAGGTTGAGAACCACTGTATTATTGAAAAGACCTAAAATGTTCTCCTTTGAAAGGTTTGCCTATTGGGGAAGAAAGTTGTATCTTCTCTTAGTTGGAGGATACTCAAGCACTTAAGCCCTGACATGATGTTAAACAACCCAAATAGAACTTGAATTTCTATCTCAAGGTCAAAGAGGAAAATCAAATACTGTAAGTCTTCAATTAATGACATCAATCAGGTCTGTGACTTTAAGCAAAATGACATATAAGGAAACCTATTTTACCATGGGTGGTTGATATAAACAAGAGTTAAGTTCCTATGGCATCTCAACTACATTCTAACAAAGTGACATTGAACGAAATGATGTTATTTGAGGACCTGCTATACTAAGAGTAATTCTGAGATGTTTGCAGGGAGAAGAAACACTCATTTTTAAGTACACCTGTGAATGCTTCTCAGCTGCCTTCAACAGTCTCCCCTAGTGGTTTAACTTCTGCTCTGACAACATTTTCCCTTGCATTTAAACTAAATTTGTTTGGACTCTGCCCATTTTTTCCTTCTGCTGTCCTCAGTAACCAAGGAGAAAGCCACAGTCTCGCTTTTCGTGGGTAGTGCCTCAGTTATTTGCAATTTACCAATTTTCACTGAAGAACCCAGCTTATGTCAGGGCTCAAGTGCTTGGTAATGAATGAATGAAGCTGAGATTATGACTAAAGAAGAGGATAATGAGGTGGACCCAACAATTACTGATCCTATATACCAAACAAACATTTGATATAAGTGTACATGTTAATATATGTATGTATGTATGTGTGTGTGTGTGTATATATATATATATATATATATATATATATATAGCAGTAATATGCAAATGAGGTCAAGACTCCATAACGGTCACGACCAGCTCAGGAGGAGGGGCCGGACGTGGGCCCGAGCCTGAGAGAACAACACGCAGGTGCAGCCTGGAGCCTGAGAGATCAACACAGAGGGGCACCTGCTCCAAGCCTCAGATGCGGTTGGGGGCAGGCCCCCAGTGGGGACACACACACACACACACACACACACACACGCACACACACACGGTGCCTGCTCTGAGCCTCCCCCTAAGCCATCAGTAGGACATCCCCTGAGGGCTCCCAGACTGTGAGAGGGGGAAGGCTGGGCTGAGGGACCCCCCACCCCCCAGTGCACGAATTTCGTGCACCGGGCCTCTAGTATTTCAATAAAAGCCTCATATGATTTGTTCCTTTCTCTTTAAGTATAAATTTCAATAGTTAAAAAAATAACTACCAGGGCTGTAACCCTTTGCTGAAGAAACTTCAAAGTTGGCTATAAATAAGTCTGTGGTATAGAAAGAACAGATCTCTACCTGACTTGGATAACAAAACAATGATGAATTTAATGAAATTTATGAACTTAATGTAATTTATATTTTCTTCCAATTTATATTCCTTCCATTGACTCATTTAGTTTTCATATGTTGTTAATGTACTGCATTCCTACATTAACAACATCTTCTGAATTTTGCATGAATTTCTCACAAATAGTTGTATAAATATTTCTCTTTTTTTTTTTACTACAAAACTAGCTTTTTAAAAAATGCTGGAGTTTCCCTTACATAGTCTTAAGGATATAACTACTTAGTACTTTCTTTAGTGAAGCCTTAAAAAGGTACTGAAGCGTACCTTAGACTGGCTATAGCTATCACCTGGTATCAAGCTGACTTCTACTTCAATATGGGTCCATATAATTCCGTTTTATTAAATGCATCAACTTATTACAGACCTTATTGCTATATCACTCTGTTTTTTTCCTACTGTAAAAAGAAATACATTTTCTTTGTTCTTTTTTTTTTTCACTAATGTACGCTGCCTGTGTTAACCACACTTAATGAAAACAATCACAATTTTCTCAGGTTTGTTTCTCCCTACTGTGTACTTGAGATGAAAAACACTCTTCCCTGTGTATAGTGCAGTACTTTTAATTGGAAAGAGGAGGAAATCACCAGTGACATTTCTAATACCTTAAGTCGTCTGCCTCTTTTTTCAAGCCCAGCTTATAATAAATCAATTGTGAATCTAACCATGGATAGGGTAGGCGGGCAACAAGATTTGCTAATGGGCCCCTTTTAAAAAAGACAGATATATTTCACACTGACTATCACTGATTTCGAAGAGTTACCCTGATTTATTGGAGCAGATGAAACTGTTTGAGGCTATTCCTTATCCTTTACTAAATAATCAATTATTTCCAATTTAATTGATGGGGGACTGGGTCATTGACATTCTTCTGGTATTTTGCAAGCTTTGCCTGAGGTAGAGGTAGTACGGATTATAGAATGTGGATTTGGGCCTCAATTTTTGTGCCCGAGAACACATGAATGTTCTTTGGAGACTCATAATTTTCTGTGTGCCCTATTTCTCCTCAAACCCCCTTCCCTTTCTCTGTTCGTTTTGGGGTCAGGACACCTTGAACATCTTTTCATGGTTTTTAAAGTGAGGCAAGGAGAGATGAATTCAGAAAATCAGGCTGTATGGATATGCCCATTAGCATTTGATTTAGGATATTAGAGACAGTCGTATTTTACAGGTTCCTGTAGTATTTGCCATTGTGACCCAATTCACAAATGCTGCACATCATTTCCACTTGAAATTCACAATACCGAAATAAAATAAGAATTAAACATCCTCCAGTTGTGCTTTGAAAGGTCTGCTCTCCATTGTGAGGTATTGTCTGTGAAGTACTAAAAAGATCCTTTTGTGTGTGTGTGTGAGTGAAAGTTAATCCTGAATTCACCTTGCAGAACAACTTACCTTTTCATTTTTGTCAAAAAGCATCAGGATAATGGGAAGCTAATGACAAAATCAGTTTATTTTTAAAACTATAAAAATAAGACAAATGCTACTGCATTTGGTGAATGCTGCATTCTTATTAAGACTAATGCTGGCTCATAGATAAATAAGATTAATTCAGCAAACATACTTCCGGCCCTCCAGGAGCTGACAGTCAAAGATTTTTGCAGATATTTCATTAATGAGAGAATAGTTGTTAAAGCTTCTTTAACTCTGTAGAAGATATGCTTAGTTTTATGTTGATTAAATTTAGATGAAGCTTGCATTGCCCCATTTTAAATAACTTTAATTTATTCAAACCTACTAAAGGGGTTTTGGCTTTTCTAGTATTCATTAAAATTAGAACTATGTAAATTTTCATTAACATTATTTTAATGCCATAGCTTTAGCTTTAGCCTATCTGTGCAAATACTGTGCTTGCATCTAAAAAATTATATACAAAATATTGGGAACTAGCAGATGGCATGGCAGAGGCTGGGTTGTGGTGCACGGAGGTCACAGACTAGGGTCACACACATGAAACTTGCTGCACTTCTCACCAACCAGGAGATGCTGAGCAAGGTTCCTAGGCTTGTTAAGTCTTACTCAGGCTAGTGCTGGAGGGACAAAGGAGAGGAAGACATGGGTCTTATGCTGGGGCTCTTGGTATAGCAGAAGGAACAGACTTTTAAAAGATAATTATAGTACAGCATATGCTCTGTATGAGGGCAGAAGTCTTTCCTAGGTACAGAAATAGTGCAAAGCAGGGGGGAATTAGTGCAAAGGACATGAGAGATTTCAAGCAATTTTGTAGCACCTTTAGTCTAACTAGGCCACTGGTCCATTGGCTACTTCCTACTTACTCATGAACCTTCCTGACCTCATGCTAGGGCTTCATGGTCCAATCATTTCAGTAATTCTCTTGCCCCCTGGAAAGCACAGTGCTAGACAAATTCAGTGGTCCACTTTGTCTGTGTCTGTGACTGGGCAGCAAGCCCCGGGGGAGGAGCCAGTTAGCAGGGGCTCCCCAAGACCTCTCTCCACTCTCCACTAGCATCCTCACTTCCCTCAAAACCCCCTCCCCTCAGACTCAGAGAGGGGATCTTGCCTTCTGTTTCTCAGAGCAAATGTAAGCGAGGAGGTTCTCACAGCAAATCTAGAGAGATACAAAGAGGTGGTGG